AGTAGTAGTAGTAGGGTAGTAGTAGGGTAGTAGTAGTAGTAGTAGTAGTAGTAGCAGCAGCAGCAGCAGCGGTGGCTACAGCAGCTGCAGCGGCAGTAAAAAACGGTAGTCAAGAAACGGTGAAGCTACTCAGCCAAAGGAAAGAAAGAAGCTGAGAAGCCAGAACGCCTGAGGCCAAGAAATCCAAAGGCAAATGAAGCCAAGAAAGCCAAAAAGACGGAGCAAGGAGCCTCAAGGGTCGGAGGCCAGAGACTGGGAATCCAGGGCCAAAAAAACACGCGTAGACAACACGGGGGGAAAAAAAAACAACAAACATCCTTTCGATACAAAAAACATGCAGTTTGGTGCGGCACACCGGCGGTCTTAGTAAGATTCTCGGAGTTGCTGCATAGCGGCTTGTTCGCAGCATCATGACTCGCACAACTTTACTTGCTGGGATGCTAGCTTCTCGTGCACGGTTGACGAAGGTGCTAGGATGTGCTAGGTTGCAGCCTTATGACTACTCTGAGAGCTGGGCATCCTTGTTGTAGACTTGTTGTGCAGACAGCTGCTGTGTTGCGGCGGCATCTTGCATCCCTGGTCATGGCACAGGCAAGCACATGCCAGACCTTGCCCGCGAGCCGCCTCCGCCATAGGCACGTGGATCATAGCCATAACCTTCAAAGTTCAGTTGTGGCCACGTGAATTCTGATGCAAGCATGAAGAAGTCCGCCTTGACCATACCCGGCAGACGGGCCATAGCCGTAGCCACCACCGCCTTGACCACCTTGCCCACCATACATCGCCCCGCCATATCCGGCGCCATACGCGTTGCCATTGCCATATTGCTGGTCGGGGCTGCCATACCCAGGGTTTGCATAAGCTCCGTAGCCACCTTGGTAGCCTTGTCCGCAGCCTTGGCCAAAGGACCTCAAACATTAAGATTAACCATGACTGGACTGAGATCTCTTAGACGTAGACTTAGACGCAACTACAACGCCACGCAAAGAACAGTGGACAGCCCTCCGCCACAAAGCACGTATCCGTGAGTGCGTATAAGACAGACAAGTTTTTGACACAGTTCAGCATGCTTGAGGATAGGCTGGCATTAACTATGATGGGCAAGCGGCGTGGCAGTCGCTGGAGCCTGCGTGCCTCACCATGATCACCACATGCTCTCAAGTCTCTCGTGGACATTGAACGTGCACGCTCAACCACTTCGCCCGCCTTGGCTGTAGCCTTGACCATAGCCTTGATAGCCTTGACCATAACCCTGGTTATATCCTTGCCCGTAGCCCGAAAAGTTTTGCGTACCACAGCCAGCTCCATAACCTTAGATCCAGTCCCGCTTTCTGCCCCACAGAATCACACTGGTCTTTGCGTTTTCCGAGTCGCTGTTGTCAAGACGCGTCTGCGGAGGACGTGTGGCCATTGCATCCTCAAACCGTTCATGCTTAGATCGCGCGCGGTCAAGCCAGGGCAGCCAGGAGCCATCTGAGGGGTGAACATAATTTGCGAAGGTGCCTGCCGGCTGGGTCTTCAGGGCCTGCACAAACATCACCACCAGCTGAGGAGTCCACAGGCCGAAAGCGCATTGAGCACATCTGGGGCCAAGGCATCCGGAGTCATCGTCTTGAACCTCAGCACAGCGCTTCCTACCGATCTCATATTTGCAGTTTCTGATCCGCGGCTCTGGCTGTCCCACATCGGCTACGTTCTGAGTTGCCATTGCCGAAGTCTGGCAGCGAGTGCTGAGGGGATACGACAGCTTGCCGAGGTGAAATTTGTCAAAACAATCCAGCATGTCATCCAGGTAGATTGAACTGCTTCTTTTCTGACTTGGAAAAGATAAGAAGTACATGTCTTGCGAGAAGATAGACTTCTAAGTTCAAAGCATTGCCAGTGAAGGCTTGACGCTGGAAAGCAGCTCCGCTGCTCGTGCCAACGGCCTGCAGCTACCAGAAACTTCCACTGCA